CAATATATTACAAAATAAAAACAAATTCCTTTCTAGCGTCAGCGAGAGCGCAGTGTTAAAAAGGATTAATTGGATTGCATTCGTTAGATAAAAAATATAGCAAAAATATAGTCGAATTGGACGGCTTTGTTTGCGCTGGCGACCGGTATTAATATTTCTGGTAAATTATAGAATGCCTCTTTTTTGCAACGCAACAGCTCGTTGCTGCTTTGCAATGTTGTTTTTTCCGATGTATATAATACACGCATGCATTGTTAACATAAATTAATCCATCTAATTTTTGTTATTTATGTGTCAACCGCCATTATATGGAAATATGTCACGAAAAAATATGATCTTGATGCTCATTTTGCGACTAATTTTTGACTCGCGTTAACTTATTCGTTATAATTTATATTTAAAGTGAATAAAAGAATAATCGAGAAAACAATTCCACTTAATAAACACGCGATAAAATGAATGAAAATGCATATAATCGCGAAAACAATAAAATTATTTATCATTAACTATATAAAAAATAAAAATAATGAAATTTCTTTGCAAAAAAATACAATTGTTTAAACGCAAAAATATCGTAAAATATAATATAATATAATATAATATAATATAATATTATGTATAGAATATATATAAAGAATACTAGAAAAAATATATAAGATAAGATATAAATACTTAATAAATTAATATAATATTATTTAAACAATATATGTAAAATGTTGTTAGTATTGTCTGAATTATAACATTGAATTTTAAAATATGTATAATATGCAATTAAAAAAGATTGTCCTAGTTTGCAATATATAAAATATAAAATTGTGATTTAATTATATTTTATAAGCTTTTATTTGAAATAGGAGACAAAAAGTATTGTATAGTGTGTACATAAAATAATATTATATAAAATTTATTTAAATTAATATTTCAATTCAAATTGCACATATGAGAGAGAGAGAGAGAGAGAGAGAGAGAGATTGCTAAATTTATTTAAATTTTACATCAGCAAATATAAAATTCAAGTTCTGTTTTTGCACACACATGTAAATTTTGCAAACAAAGATATTATGAATTAAAGCTTTCTATATAATCTATATTGCTAATATACAGGGTGTATTTTAAAAAGCTCCCACTAAGCAAATAGCGTTCCTGATTAAAAACCGAGTCGAAAAGTCCTGAACCTTTTTTTTTCCAAGATTCATTAAATAATTAATCAGATTTAAGTATTAAGAAGATTTCTGAAAAGATGAATTGTTTAAAAATTCACACAAAACAGTTTATATTTTTGCTTATCCAAATCTTCGTATGTTGATAACGAGGAAGTTTGTCTTTTTATTGGTGCGACCTTTTTTTTCCAAGATTCATTAAATAATTAAAATCAGATTTAAGTATTAAAAAGATTTCTGAAAAGATGAATTGTTTAAAAATTCACACAAAACAGTTTACATTTTTGCTTATCCAAATCTTCGTATGTTGATAACGAGGAAGTTTGTTTTTTTATTGGCGCGACCTTTTTTTCCAAGATTCATTAAGTCATTAAAATCAGATTTAAGTATTAAAAAGATTTCTGAAAAGATGAATTGTTTAAAAATTCACACAAAACAGTTTACATTTTTGTTTATTCAAATCTTCGTATATTGATAACGAGGAAGTTTGTCTTTTATTGGCGCAATTTTACTCATTAATTGCTGCTTTATTAAGTATCATGGAAAAAAATGGTTCAGGACTTTCCGACTCGGTTTCTAATCAGGAATAACGCTATTTGCTTGGGAACTTTTTAAGATACACCCTGTATATAGAATGCATATATGCGCGATATGCGTCAGCCGACAAAACGTAGTTATCGAGTTATCCTCTCGAATTGGAGTTGTCATTGAAAATAACATCTGACGAAAGTGTATGTACATGACGTATCAGTGATTGTTGGTGTTCTCGACATCGGTGTGGAATGAACACTCGTGTGTGCGACGTGCCGTCATCGTCGTGTGGATATCGGAAAAGCATTCGTGTGAATCTTAGGGGACTCAGGAGAACGGCGGCGAATCGCTTTCTTCGCTCACACCGGAAAAGCGAAAATGCCAAACGAAAATCCGTGACAAAGACGTGTGATGCTATACGGCCCGCCTATGTGCAATGCGTTTCTTTTGTTGAACGACTATGCAAATATTTCCGAAGACGCAACGGAATAATACGCAAGCGGAATCGTTTCGTGTACGGAGAATCGATTCCGCAGCTGGATTGGTTACTTTGCAAAGAGATTCATTGATAATAGAAGTTACCGCATAAACAAATTGTTTTTACAGAGCAGAGTTTATCGGAAACATAAATTGAAATATTGAAATAATTTTATTGAGAAATATTGAAATAGTTTTTCCAGAGATTTATGTAATCTTCATTTGACTTTATAATACGATGATATCGACTTTTTCATCAAACGTATCTGAGACTTTTAGCATATTTTGTTCATCGCGATATGAATGTTAAATAATAAATGAAAAAGTTATTAAACTTTCTGGCAATCATTTTTTAAACAAATCCATATGAAAATAAGATGTACATAAAATATAATGTTTTATTAGAAATAGCCAAAGCAATTATTGTCAATTATCGCTTAATTCCACGTGTGAAAACGATATGCAAGTGACGCTTGCAATAGCCATCGTATTATTTTCTGTTTCTTCGCAATTTTTAATCGAGCTTTATCTATTTATGTTGTCAAGCTTGTACCCCAGAGAATGCGACAAAAAAGTAATCGAAGACTGTTTAAAATATGTAGGAAATGTCCGCGCGTGAAACAAACTCGACGACCCACAATTTGCCAGCAACGATACTACGAAAAATACGTTTGAAAAAAAATATATATAAAATGAATTTGTAAAAAAGGGCAAACAGATCAGATATATTCTCTGTGACAGATGGATCAACCCGTGGGTAAGTCCCAATAGGGAGTGCCTGACAGTTGCACGACTATAAATCTTGATTCTCCCTTGGGACGAGTCACAATCGATATGAAACGAAGAGAACCGAGCGAGGCTTTCATCGTTACCATCGCGTGGTTGTTAATGAGGCTTTGCGAGAATTATAGCACCAAGTAAAGAGCGACCGCAATGAAATTGTGAAGATACACATGATGCATTAATATACAGGGTGTCCCAGTTATCTTTCGTCATCTTTCAAAGACTCCTGGGAGATCCTGGAAAATTTCTGGGATCATCCGAAGACGATTTTTCCTCAACGAAAATGTCGAGGCACTAATAATTTTCGAATTATAAGTGATTGGAAATAAGCGGTTTTTCATAAACTAAGCTTTTTGTAGAAATAAAATATTTACAAAATCACATTCTTTGATTGATTTTAAATAGAGTTTACTTTACTTGAGTTTTAATTTAAGACTTAATTGCAAAGATATATGATGACAAAAATCGGGAATATGCAAAAATGATGGCCTTCATTGACATTTTCGCTGAAAAAATCGTAGGAAAAATTATCTTCAAATGATCCCAGGAATCTGTCTTTGAAAGATGAGGGAAGATAACTGGAACACCCTGTATATGTTAATGCATTGTACATGGATATTTATTGTGATTGTACCATTAATAATTGATATTTTAAATAATATTTGAAATGTATATTTTGTTTAATGCCTATTAATTATCTAGCTTTATGTCTACAATTCTAGAATGTCTATCTTTAACAAAACTCTATAGGGATACGCCAATTTTATCTTACACTTTTCTATGCGAGTAAAATATGGATTCCAACAATTTTCAACCTATTTTTATACATGAATATCAAAATATTTGATATTTAAAAAAATAATTCTTGTGAGAAATCTCTTAAATATCGCGATGAAAGAGCGAATTGTTTCGTGCGTCGTTATTATTTTTTTTCGTATAAAAATATCATTAAAATATTTTAACATTATATTTTTTAAATATTTTTATAAAATTAGATTTTTATATTAATATATATAAAAATTATTTTCTATATTTATAATATTTCTTAAAATATTCTTATAATATTTCAGTTTCATATTTAAACAAATTCTTTTTTATAAGTTTTTTTAATTAAGTATTTGTATTTAAAAATTAAAATCTGTTTAAGAAGTTAAAATTTTAGCCCACAATCATTATTTTTTAAAATATTAATTATTTTAGACATGATATTTTTATAATTTGTATATATTTGTATTTTGTACGTTGTTGTAATTTTATTGTGGGTATGCAGAGTATATAGAATATGGGAGCTAATTTTTTTATTTTAATTTCAAAGAATAATTAATTTAAATTATGTCAGATTATATCATATATATATAAATATACATATAAAATATAATATATATAACATATAAATTCTGTTCTAAATAAACATTATTTCACAGATTATATAAAATTTTCATGCAAATGATAATAATTAATAATCAGCTTGTTAAAGATTTGTAAATGCATTAAGTTGGCAGCTAATTCTCGAAATGTCACGCAATTTATTCATTTAAAACAGAAATCGTAGCGATAAAAAGTGGGAATTATAAATTATCATTTCGTTGCAAATAATAATTATTTTTATGACTAATACCATTATTTTTTAATAAATTTATGAGCGCTCTATTTATCGCGCTTGCTTTTATTGCCTTTTATTCTTGTATTATAATTATTTTTGTAATGATTTGTACACATATTTGTGTATTTTCTCTTATATTACGATCCATCGACATTAACAATCAATCGAATGCTGAATATTTAATTCAATATGTTGATGATTATTTATTTTCTGATTAAACGAAATATTCGTAATATATATCTTATAATTTATTTTAAAGTTAATAAAATATTTTGTAACGACAAATTAGTTAACGTGTGTGTAATGCTTATTTTTTGAGAATTATATCGTATTCTTTTGCATCGGGAAAAAGAGAGATGTCACATATATAAACATAATCTTTTAATTATAAAATCAATTATAAATTATATTATATTAAAAATCATATAATATAACTTTTTCATTAGGTATTCCTTGACGTTGGTGGAAGAGCTTACCTGAAGAGGAAACTAAATATCCCAACAACCCATTGCAACCAAAACAATTCATTGCACGAGTCGATATCAATAATTAATCAAATGATTTACTATAGCGAGCACATTCGATGCATTGAATATTATATCCGTTTGTTATCATGCCCAAATGATGCGTCACGTCTTAATTAGTTCGGGAGTGTCGTATCGCGTGTCCATTTGTTATCTTGCTACAGATAGTTCGTCGTGTCTTAATTAGTTCGGGAGTGCCGCAAAATATCGCGCGTCCATCTTTATCGTATCATATAATGAACAATAATGAATTATATTTTCGCGAGTGCAACAAATCTTAATAATTTGAGAGGAGAAGGAGACCTAGGAGATGTCAGATGATGGCAACTTTGGGGTAAATAATTTATTTTTTGTATATTATTCTTACATTTATATATTATTTTTTATTAATATTGCATGTTTATTTCTGTTTATTTAGTTTATTTATTTGAATAAAATATTGTTAAATAAGAATTTTTTAAAAATTTTTATATAGTATCATAAATGTTTAAAAGGGATAATTATTTCGGAAATTATATAATTATTCCATTAAATATCCGTTTACTATTATATTCATTAAATTTTATATATATATATATATATATATATATATATATATATAATTGTTTCCTTTAGAAGAATAAAGAAAACAAATGCAATACTTTTTAAACTAAATACATTAAATTAATTTTATATTATTTTATAACTTATTTTTATTTTATTCGATGCATATATACACAATAACAATTATTTTAAATATTTGATATTTTGAGCGCTTCTATAATTTAAATTTTATATGTATAACTTTATATGTTACAGATCAATATACATAGCTTCAATGTAGTTAATTCTGCCGTTGTGCATCCGATTGGTGAGTGATAAGAACTTTTATTTTATTTATTAAAAATTTAAAAAAATAAATAAATATCGAATATATATTCAATTCAATATTTGTGCAATAAAAAACTGTATATTTATCCTTTCAAAAATACTAAAAAAAAAATTCATATTTTAAATAACTGTTAAAATTTATTTTTTAAAAGAATTTATTAAAAATATTTCAAAAATGTAAATAGATATTATGTTAAAGTCGTATGTTATAAAAGGATAAGTGTATACAAATTTATTTGTGTGTATATATATGTGTTTTTTTTTACTATAGAATCTTGAAAAAAAAGTTTATTGCAAAAACATGTCTACTTTCATAGTAATGCAGTTTTAACAAAGACATTATTGTGCAGCACATGGCACAATTTACAGAACTTTTATCGCGGACGAGAAGAACGTGTAAATGTAGACTTTTATACACCGTCCATAACGTGAAACTTAGCACTAAGCTTAGCTATTTCCACCTTGAAGCAGCACGGTTCATCTATCCGCGAGCGCGCGCGCGAGAGAGAGAGAGAAAAAAAATGAGCACTCCAAAGACCCAGCTAATCGCGTACTTTTATATCTCTCGACCAAAAGAGTTCGTCCTTTTACGAGACACGCAGAGATAACGTTTAAGTTGTCTCGACGACCAGTCACACACTTTTTTTACGACACAATCTCAGACCAATGAGGTAGACCAATGTCCGTAACGATACAATTTTCTGAACCACTTTCAAAAATGCGTTTATAAATAACAAAAGTTAATAAAAATTTAATTCAATCACACACATATTGCTATAATTGAATGTTAAAAGACTACAACATACAAGATCAAAATCAATCTTTATTATAGGGATATTATCATATATATGATAAGCCATGCAATTGGAACAGGTTCTAGTATCTGTTTCATTAAAGATAGAAAGAAATAGTAGAGGCAAAAATATATTGATGGTATAACTATTTCTATTTTTCGATTAACTCATTTTTTTTCTAAGTGTAACAATACACCAAAAAAGTTCAATTTTTTTCTTTAATGGAATCATATTTTCTTTAATATAAATAGATTCTTTTGAATATTGTGCACAAAATAACAATAATAGGATAAGATGTTCAAATAAGAAATATTTCACAAGATATTTAAAGTTTTTAAAAAAGGCATACATTTTAAGATGTTTAAACATATTATTATTACATAACAAATATTTTGTAATAGATTTCTTTATGTTCTTTATTATAGCACAAAGTTAAATTATATATTTATATTATTTATTATATTTATTTATTATATAATATACTATATTTATGTTTAAACAATTTATTTTTATTCAGTTTTTTTAAATTTCTTCAATGGAAGTAAATGAATGCGAATACATTTTATCTTTGAGGTAATACCATAAGAAAAATCCAGTAATGTAAATAGTAATTATTTTGATACCGTAATGAAGAACATAAACAGATCATAAACTGTTTATATAATTTTCAAGTGGTAGAATGTTGGATTATCACCTTGAATGAAGCATATGTATGCTTTATTCAGAAATTTCAAATATCTCCTGAAATATTTCTTTTTTTTATTATTTTATCCTGATATTTTTGCACATACAATATTCATAAAGAAAAAGAAAAAATTTATTTAAAATTAAATAAATCTATTTCAGAAGAATCTATTTTACACAAAAAAGATTTTATTCTAAAAAAAATGCACTTACACTTTTCCGATGCACAGTTACAATTAAAAAAAATAAATCTATAGAAAAAAATAGACATTGTACTATTCAATTTCTCTTTCTACCTGCGTGATTTTTTTTTATCTACTATGGAACAGATGTTGGAATTCTGTCCCATTTCCATAGCCAACTTTGTGTATACATAAAATGCACTACACACTTGGAATATATTATATACATGTCAATATATATACAAATATATATATATATATATTTACATTTACTAATAGTAGCATTTACTAATAGTATGAAATTATGTATTAATCGAGCACATACACACACACAACGCAACAATGAAATATTGTAATTTTGACAAAATTAAAAAAGCAAGTTCTATAGCGTTCAAGATGGTCTATTAAAGTACTTTATTATGCATCAAATTCTTTATTGCACATTCCGATTTTTTACGAAAATACTTTTACGGTATTCAATAATTCCTTAATATCTAATAAACAACTTCGAAATTATAATCGGTTTTTCCGAACAGAAATGTATTTTCGAGTAGAAAAACCCACACGTCTATAGGAAAAATTTGTTATTATATTATCGCAATTTGTTATTATTGTCTTTTATTTCTCTTTTTGTTAATATTTTTGTATCTAACCGTTTCGATTACTGCATACTTTTGAAGTTGTTATCTTAATCTCGAATTGCATAAAGATTTTATTTTTGATGATACGTTCAAATCAATGATTTTTATCTTCACTATCGAGTTTATTTTTCTTTCTTTCTATAACATATTTGATTTCTATTGGTTTGCGCTTAATCTTGTAAGAGTTATGATCCGACGAACATCGCTAAAGTCCTCGTAACCCGCAAACGAGGCAATCGATGTCGATCCGATTAAGTAAACCGCTTTTGTGATGTACTTTGGTTTTAGAGAGTGATTAGTTAGAAAGTTTCAAATATTCTCCAGATCTTCTAATAAATATTATAAAGGAATGGTAATCCTTATATTCGAGTTCCTCTCTCTCTGTTTATATTCATTATTTATAATCATTAAAACTTTCCTTTGCTTGAATCTGAAAAGAAAATGAAAGAACAAAATATAAATTATATTTATATAATAATATTTATAAAGCAAAAACAAGAAGTTGCGATAAAAATTACGAGTAAAAAATAAAAATCATATTTTTGCACATATATCAGAGTTTTCTTTATTATATTCATCATTATTTTAATAAAAAAAAAACAAAAATCGTATCTCTGCTCTTTCGAACATCATAAAAAAATACTGTCATAATAATAACGTAATTATATTCATATTTAATATTTATTTTCCAAGATCATCTTTATCAAAACGAAGATAACGCACCATTTAACAGCTCATTTGTATCTCCAATTAACGCGAATAATCTCCCTAATTTGACAGTTCATGTTGTTATTGAACCGATAACACGTACATTCGCACTATCGACCGTGAATGTCAAATGTCAAGCATCATCCACACCGACGCGTTGCGATTGCGAGTGTCGATATACATCTATAACCGCGCCCAGCCATTATCCGTATTGGCTATCGCCCGGATTTTCGTCTGTATTGCCGGTCATTTTTTCCACTCGCGGTGTTTAATGATTGCAAACGCGGGAAATTCGCGCGAACCTTTCCGCGGAAATAGCGCGCGAAAGGAATTACGGTCGGCGCGCATGACGCGCCTATTTACGATTCGTATTATAAATCGCGTCCGGAATGGAGAGAAGCGGTTAAACACGTGCGTGGTCCATTATATCTCGCCTGTAACGGTGTACGTGATTACGCGATGTGTCATAGATGCTGGAGCGGGGGGTGGGTTAAAGCGCACGTCATGAATATTTATCCGCGGCTATTGCAAAATAAATGCCGGAGAAATTCACGGCGAAAGGGCAACAGAAAGAAACAAAGAAGAAGAAATCATATAATCCCGGGCTACGTCTACGGTTTTTCCTGAACGCTTTCCACGTGTGTGTTACGCTTATACGAATATCAACGGGCAGATTAAAGTTTCATCCGATTCTCTCCCGCCGCGATCGTCGATGTTGAACCGCGCACATTTCTCCCTGAAAGCTCGAATATTTATTTCCGAAGCTCGAAAATGCCGCTACCTTTGCCCGATTGCTCGGAGAATCCTGTCGGTTTCGATTCAGTATGAAAAATTTGGTCGCAATGATAAACCCGCGAATAAAGTTTGCCTTGCCTGAGGCCAGGTGGACGAGGGTAGATTGAGAGAGAGAGAGAGAGAGAGAGCTTCTATCGAGGGTCGCTTTCAAATTGACATTCATCGGGAAATACATTTGGCTCTGGTTTTACCAGAACAGTCAGAAACGAAAAGTTAAACTCGTAGAGAGCTTTACATCAATCTGATAAAAGTTCTTTGGTCGATGATTAATGCGATCCGTTTATTTTTGAATTTTATCTAGAGTTATTTTTGCGCGTGTTTTTTTAAATAACACACTGAGAAAAAAATATTCTGGTTGCGTTAATTAGAATTCTGGTAGATTCAACCAGTATGTCTATTGGAAAATCCAGAATTCTTGTAGGAATTACCAGATGAATCTGATTAATTTCTTCCTGTTAAATTTACCAAATTTCCTGGTTAATATTTATTTTTTTATTATTAATGACATGCGAAGAACATATATGGTAATTTTAATTTTAATAAATTATATTTTACACATATATACACTGAGAAAAAAATCTGGTTGCATTAGTTAGAATTCTGGTAGATTCAACCAGTATGTCTGTTGGAAAATGGACGAGCTAGAATTCTTGTAGGAATTACCAGATGAATCTGATTAATTTCTTCCTGTTAAATTTACCAAATTTTCTGGTTAATAATATTAAACTCTCTAGCACCAAGTCGTCTAAAATTTTTTCCATTTAATCTCAAAAATCTGTTTAATATTCTGAATTCCAACAAGATTATTGGATAAATTCAATCCAAATTATTGAATAAATTATTTTAAATTCAGTTTGTTAGAAATTAAACTGATAAACAGTGATGCAAGAAGAGGATACAGCTCAAACACACACAATCAGAGAGCTAGCGTCCTCTTTCTGGCATTACTGCTCGTAGAAGCAGCTGCAAGAGAAAAAAAGTATACTTTGGATTTAACGTTAATACTAGTTCTTTATATACATTTCACGACAAATATTGATGAATACGAGTTAAGTTAAAAATCAAGCATTTAATGTAACAAGAAATTTTATAGATTCAACCAGAAAATACTAACCAAATCCTTATAGTAAAATGTATTAAACGTTCTAATAAAATTATAAAATTATAAAATCGAGT